GAGTATAGGTTTCCAACCCTCAGACAGATGTGGAGAAAATGTCCCCCATCTGTTGTCAGTTTTATGCATGATTATTCTAAAGAACTATAAATTCTGCTTACCTGTGGTTTGAGTTGATAGATAATCAAAAGGATTAAAAAATAAATTTGTGGGGCCTCCCCGGTGGCGCAGCGGTTGAGCACTGGGTTGCGAGGCTGCCCACAGCCTCTGTGGCGCCGGTTCGATCCCCGGTTGCTCCCCGGCCACCTGAGGAGGGTCCCACATGGCGCGCAGACCTCTCCTGCCGCCCGCTGCTCCCCTCAGCAGTGTGCTTCGGTCCTTCTGCCTGCTCTGCTCCCCGCTCTGGCTCTGGTGAATTCTCTCACCCTCCCGCACTTCTGACTGTACCCAGTGCATGTATAAACAAAACAAACAAACAAGTAAATAAAAATCATAAATAAATAAAAATACATGCCTCTTAAAAAAATAAAAAAAATAAAAAAAATGTTTAATAAAAAAAAAATAAAAAAATAAATTTGTGAAATGACTGGCTCTAATTTACATAATTTCTAACCATTAATCTTCTATTTAGGTATTTTTGATAACATTTCCTGCTGTCCAGATGAGTTGGACAGATCACCCACCAATAGGAAATGTGTGTATGTGTGTATATAAGTGTAGTTATATTCATAAATATGCTGAAGAATGCAGACATCATTGAGTAACTAATATTCCCTGACTATATTTCTCAGCACCAATGGTATGACACTCTCCTCAAAGCCTCTAAGGAATAAGTAGATTCTAATTTACCTGAGCTATACTTGTGAAAAGCCAAAAGAGTATTTGCTATTATAGTATATGCTGGAACTTAATGCTTTTCTGAATGGTGCGAAGGATTCATTCAGTGAATTGTGTGTTTCTTTAAATGTTTCTTTGTTTAATATTTCATTAATGTGGACTTTCAAAGAGAAAAAAGAAACCTAAAGGGTCCAAATCAAAAGAAGTAGTCAAGATTATTAAAATAATTTTCTACACTTTTTCTTTGCACACATTTAATTTAACATGAAGTGCAGTAACAGCTTTGAAAGTGAGTACCTCTTAAGATACTTTTAGTTACTTTTAGTACCACTTTCCAAGTTCTTGTAGCCACTTTAAAATTAAGGTGTCTTGGGGAAAAACTCCTACCAGTCCTGGAAAAAAAAAAAAGCTTTTTAAGTAAAAATCTTTTTTCTTAATTTTATTCTTCCAGCTATTTCCTTTAATGTTCTTACTGATATAATGCAGGATAATGTTTTTCATAAGTTCTGAACATGCAGTTATGGACTGATAATTTCGTAGGTTAGAACATTCGGTCAGAACACTCATTAGATTACCATGTCCTCTATCCTAGTCTATAATTTTTCATATATCCATATGTCTATCTAAATACAAAAGACAGTGGCTGCTCTCTGCTGAGAGATGAAACGGAAATCTCCATTACAATACATTGTCTCCTGTATGAATGCTCTACATTTTCAGCTGTCTTCACTATATTAACTGATGTCATCTTGTGGATTTTTATCCTTGTCTAAACTGCTCTTGCAGTGACACTAATAATGAAAAGATATATCATAAGGAACAGTTATTAATATATAACACTAATTACATAAAACATTGTTTTGTCTAGTGCTACTATATTTTGTGAAAAACTGCCCCATCATGTTCATTTAATGTCAACATCATCTATACATGAGAAATATATTTTGAAAGGAAAGTTGGTTAACTCTTTTTAAAGTCTTATGAAAAGTGGCTTTGAAATTACTATATATCACCAACCAAGCCATTACATAAATTTGCTTTTGTGAATGAAGATCAATCTGAGTAGCAAAAGTTTAATAATACAAAACGAATATGAATTATTCAAAAAGGAGCAAGCATTTAATGTTTTTCTTTAATGAAAATCCTGATAATAAAAGTGGAAATGTCTTACCAATTTGGAGCATTTTTGCAATTTTGTATTTCCCACTCATGCAACTATAACAAAATGCTCTCTGATATGGAAAGAGCATGAAAATCATCAGATTGTGGGCCTCCCTGGTGGCACAAGGGGTTAAGCACCGCACTATGAAGCAATCCACAGCCTCTGCAGCATGAGTTCGATCCCCGGCCAGCCAGGGAGCAACCCACATGGCTAGGCAGACCTCTCCTATCTCACCTGCTGCTCCCCTCAGCAGTGTATTTCAGTCTGCCTGTTCTGCTCCCCACTCTGTCTCTGGTTTATCCTCTCACCCCCGCATCTCTGGCCTGTACCCCAGCTCTTGTATGCATAAATTGAATAAATCTTTTTTAAAAATCATCAGAGTGAAATATACTGAATCAGTGCATGTCATTTTTGGCTAGTTTTTCTTGCCTATTGCATTCCCAAATTGTAGTCAAGAGCGTAGAAGGGAGTTAGAAAGGGAGGTAATGGAATCAAATTTATTAATCAATAACTGGTAATGGAACACAAAATTTTTCAAGTTATGTTAGGGACCCCAGTGAAATGTGTAAAATTGTCATGTTCCTCAAGAAATTAGTCTTTTAGTAAGCCTGAATAATCTAGCAAGGCCACGGAGGACTGTTTAAGAAGTTGCCCTACTTTTTTGGCACAAGAATTCCTTTCTACTGTCTCTCACTCCCCTGCCTCACTGTTTCCCACTGTTGCCTTCCTTATTTTCTCCTCCATCCAGTTCTTTTAAAGTTACACATTTTCCATCAATTCTTGCCCACCTCCTTGGTTTAGCAGTGTTCTTCAGTTAATTATCCCAGTAGATGTCAGCACCCAGAGGACATAATGCCAGTGTTTACCTGGTGATATTAAGAACTCTAATCATGGGCAAGAGGAGAAATTGTACTCCTTCTCATCCCTTCACTTCTTCGTTATGCTCCTTCCCCAGCCCATCCTAATTTAGGACTTCCTCAGCTTGATCTAAGCCTGCTCCTTCCTGGTATGATAGAGAGGATCAGACAAATATGTGTAGATCTCTGGAGGGAGAGCCCTCCGTTGAAGTTTGTGATTAAAGTAGAGGGCTGTCTCAGGGTTATTGTCAAAATGTGCAGTGAGGGTTAGGCCTCCCTGGTGGCGCAGCGGTTGAGCGCTGGGTTGCGAAGCTGCCTGCAGCCTCTGCAGCGCCGGTTCGATCCCCGGCTGCTCCCCGGCCACTGGAGGAGGGTCCCACATGGCGTGCAGACCTCTCCTGCTGCCCGCTGCTCCCCTCTGCAGTGTACTTGGGTCCTTCTGCCTGCTCTGCTCCCCGCTCTGGCTCTGGTGAATTCTCTCACCCTCCCGCGCTTCTGACTGTACCCAGTGCTTGTATAAATAAATGAATAGATCTTTAAAAAAAAAATAAAATAAAATAAAATTCAAAGACCGCCTCAAATTGACTAAAGAAAGTTGTAATTATATCAATCTAATAAGTTCTCTGTCAGTACTGATTCATTTGTTTTTTATTGTATTAGCTCATTTGCTATTCATTGCTTTTGTACTTTTGTCATCCTAATTTAGCATTAATTACAACAGCATTAAAATAAAATGCTGCTGTAATTCTATATCCAGGGCATAGATATCTCAAAGTGATACACGTGATTTAACAATTTATTTACTGAATGAAAGTCCATTTATACTTTAAAGACCTTTCCAATAAATCAATAAATTGATTATTTTTAATATTATCAAAATTAATAAAGATATTGAAATGTCTTCACATTTTTAAAATATTGGTAGAGATTTGCCACTCTGTCCTTTAATAGGATCCAGAATTTTATCATTAATTGATCTTGATCTTATAAATGAAGAAAGAAAAAATAGTTTGCTTTAGAAGAGTATTATCTTTTTCTTACTGGAATACATTTAGCTAATTCAATTATCTGTATAACCAAGTATAAATTATCTTATAAAATGACTTAGAGATGTTGTTTAAATTAAAACCTATTATGATTCACCTCCATGCCGTGATTGCTTGTAAAAGTGTTTTTGGATCCTAATTCTACCATTCAGTATATTCCCTATTCTCCTAGGCATTTCTTATTTTGGTGTATATTTTATCTGCCAACAATTATAGTCAGCATATTGTTTATCTTTTGTCTAACTCTAATCTTAATTCAATAATATAGCCTGACTGTTAGGTTTGGGTTTTATGTCACAATCATCTGACCTGGCCCATAACCTCTGCTGGCAAAACAGAAAAGCTTTTTGTCACTGATGAAGCCAGTGGGTCCAAGAGCTCAGAGTCAAGAGAGTTTGACAAGCAAACTATAACTTCAAACTGATCTCCACCCACTATCTAAAAGCACTGTATTATGTAACTGTTAACCACTACTCATTTTCTGTTAGTGACTATAAGACTGTGGAGTATGAAAAAAATCCCCATTTCTAATGCCAATTCTGATATATAGGTCTGTGGGTAAGGTGCAAGAGCGACAATTTTGCCAATAAGTCGTGTAATGCCAATGTAGATGATTAATGCCCAACTCATCAAGAAATAGCCTAAATTCTAGAAGATAAAGGATTATACTGGAATAAATCCATTTTATAAGAATGTGCAAATGAGTCATAACTTGTTCATCTCAGTATGAGACTAAGCTATAGTTTGATCAGATTGCTCCAGGAACAGAACAATATAATAGGGTGAACTACAAAAAAGGCATTTGTTCCCAAAGGGAGAAACAGCCTCTAGAACTGAAGGAAACAAGAGTTTTGGAGAGTTTTCATTATAGACCAGTCCCTTCACCTACTAAGTAACTTGGGCCTATCTAAAACTAACTTTAAAACTCAGGGTTGAACCAAGATGCTCAAGAAATGTCTCTTGTGCGCAACTCTAAACTTCCCAAGTAATTTTGAAGAGAGAAATATGTTTAAAGCTTTTAAGTATAAGTAATATTAATTGACAAATATTATTGCACTATATAGAACGTAGTGTGAAGACTTACACCAACTGTGTGTGAATGCATGCGTCAGTCCTATCACTTCAGTTTTAAGATGTGTTACCTGCTATGATTTACAGGTACAGCACCTAAAAAAGAAGACATCACCACTTCACACCAAGAAATGGTCCAATTATACCCTGCTACCTGTATTAGTAATTGGCAATTGCAGAAACATAAAGGTATGGGTCTACAGTTTTCTCTTGTTAATTGATATATGTGTGAATATGCTAATACAATCCTGATTTTGTTTCAGGATTTCTAACTACATTGAACTTAAATACACATTGTTTATAACCTAAAATATTCTTAAATAAGTTTGAAAATCAATAGCTACTGTTTTACTTTTCTTAAAAATAGGCAGGACGTATTTATAGGTGAATGTATCTCCTTGCAGAAATAAAAATAAATTCTCCTGCAGTTTGGATAAATTACATGAATAAAAATGACTGAGAAGCAAGAAAAATCAGTTTAATAGGCACACAATTATTCATTTAATTTCTGGTAGAAGAGAAGTAAATGGCAGTTTCAAGAAATTTAAAGATTTGGATAGATACGGGTGCAATTAAAAAATTGACTAGTATATTCTAAACTGTTTTCGCCAAAATAAATTACACATTTTAACTGCTTATGTGTATGTGGCTATATTATTTCCATAGATACATGAACATAAAATATTACATATAGTTATATTGATCATTTTTTAGGTTATATGTACCACTAACATTCTTTCTTAAAATTTTGAACCAAATAGGCCCCAGCCATCAACCAAGACAATAAAGGAAAGAGTTATGTGGAAGAACTTTCACTCAAATTATTTTGTAATAAATATTGCTAGATATTTTATATGTAGTTTTAGGAAAGAGGTAATATTATGAAATGTTTTCTTTCTCTTTTATGAAGGAATTTGACTTCATGAAGCCCACTAAGCAAGGAGAAATAAAAGAATCAATTATTGCCTAAATGTTCCTTTAAAAATCTTTTAAAAACTAATTTTTCCTTTGTGGAATAATCCTTGAATTCAAAAGAACTAAACAATGAACCTGAAAACATAAAGTCTAATAATGTTAGTAGCTGAAATGTAAGTTTTAAAAAAACCTACCTATTTAGTGTTTATTCTCGTGTACAAGTTGAATATTTTGATGGCAAAGTAAAAAAAAAAATTGAATCCATGAAGCCCTTCTTTTAAATTTCAATATGCAGTGTGATAGATATATTTGCAAAATGTGTGTGGATTTGCATGATTAGGGTCTATGACCAACATTTAACTGTCTCTCTTGTGGCATTAAGTCATAATCACTATGAGAGTTTTTGTGTATAAGGTACTTTTCTATATTTTTCAGACTACATTTTCCTATCCTGTGGATTCAGTTAAAACATTCTGCTTAGGATAGTACTACTGAGTAAATATTTGTTGAATTATGAAAGGAAAAAAGTTAACATATTTATATAAAGAGGAAGAGAGTCATATAAATTAAAATTCAGGAGTAAAAATTTCAAGAGTATTTAGTAGTATGTATTAGAAACAAATACATATGCAACATTTGGCTAAAGATAATTAGCAATACATAGGGTTGTTCATTGACTAAGTAGCAGATTCAGAGACTGGGTTTAGGAGAACTTCATTTAGAAAGTCATTTCAAGGCAGCAGGGTGGGGGTGGGAGGCAAACACAGCTTTTAGCTGAAAATGATAACGGGATGTAAGAGTTTGCCATGGGCAAGATAACTTGAAGTGAACCACTGCAGACATAGAAATAATATAAAATCTTAGCTCCTACAGTTACAAATTCAAATTTGACAGAGACTTCTCTGGAAGAATTAAAATTAAGATCTAGAGTAAAACAAGAAATACAGTTAAACTGTTGAGGGAAAAATTGGAGGGTTTTATGCCCTTTTGAAGTAACGTTAGTAGTAAAAAAAAAGTTCATCATTTTTGGCTTTTAGATTTAGATTACTATTACCTCAACTTAAAAGAATGTTGCAGTGGTGTGGTGGATAGGATGGATTAATACTCAACTTCCATTGAATCCTCTTTCCACTGTGTTATGGTTCCCAGGTTCCCTTGCAGTGTGGGTTTCAGTATGATCTGGGTTCACATAATCAGAGGCACTCACATGATATTTGGAGATAGAAGCAAGATGGATTTTGCTTCCACTGTTTCTGCTGTCTTTGCTGGAAAGTATGGTAATGGTGACTGCATTGTTCTGACACAGAAGTCCCAGTGTCATGTTAAGAACTTCATTGATACGTTAAGTGTACAGCATTAATTTTGGTGCATTTTCTCCTTTAATGTTGGAACTTGAGAAGGGTTCCTCTTGGAAAAGTACTGTAGTTGTAACTTTGACCTCTTCTGGTTTAGAGTCATAAAATAACCGAAAAAATAATATTCCTACCAGATGACACAGTGGTTCCTAAAACTGGAGGTTGGGACTGCTATGAGGCTCTTTGTGGACTCCTCATGACCTTCAAGTACCAGGAAAAGAGCTTCTTTGTTGAATAGGAATATCGATTTTTTTTTTTAAAGATTGATTTATTTATGCATATAAGAGCGGGGGTGTAGGCCAGAGATGTGGGGGGTGAGAGGATTCACCAGAGACAGAATGGGGAGCAGAACAGGCAAATCTACTGAAATACACTGCTGAGGGGCAAAATAGGAGAGGTCTGCTGTGCCATGTGGGTTTGCTCCCAGCCCGGGGATCAAACCTGCGCTGCTATGACTTCCAATAGCTTCATAGTGCTGTTTCAACCCCTTGCACCTTAGGGAGGCCCTCAATATTGGTTTTAAGGGGATATACTGCTGCCATTAAAATGTGTGTCAGAAGGATTAGGTGTGGATCTGGAATGGAGGGAATATTTTAGAGCATGTCCTCATATAACCATATCCTGAGGTATAAGTTCATGTATAATTTCAACAATCCAGGACAGGACAGGTGTGCTCACCAATGGCTCAAGCCCATCAGGAATACAGGTTTACTTTAACTCACCCAACATTTAATGCCAAAGAACTGAGGGTGATGGAAGCATAGAATTCAAAGCAGAAGAATGCAATGAATAATAATAATGAGCTTATGACCATTCACAGAAACAAAGGCTGTTGTAGCCTTTTATTAGACAGGTATTTATTACACTCACTTTACATTTTTACATCATTTTATATTGCATATTTTTCTTTGATGATGTCACTGAATATATAGAATATATAGATGAGAAAGTTGGTGAACTAGAAGGAGGTGAACAGCAGCCAAGGAAGGATCCTACTACTAATAGAAGTTTGGGTTTCTTCTTTTGGGCACAGGATAGGTTTTCACTTGTGTTGGGGGAATAGTTGCACTGTATTTTTTGTATTATGTGGAAAACAGTTACTGCTAATACTATTACTTGGAAATGTATATATGGGAAAGAAACATGATCTGATCAACAGACAGTCTCTGGGAGTTAATGGTGCATTTTTTTTTTAATATTTTATTTATTTATCTATACAAGAACCAGGGTACAGGCCAGATTCGCGGGAGGGTGAGAGGATTCACTAGAGACAGAGCAGGGAACAGAACAGACAGACTGATGAAATACACTGCTGAAGGGAGCAGCGGGCAAGACAGGAGAGGTCTGCTGCGCCATGTGGGACCCTTGCTGGCAGGCCGGGATGGAACTGGCACTGCAGAGGCTGGGGACAGCTTCACAGTGCGGCGTTCACCACCTACGCCACCAGGGGAGGCCCTAATGGTGCATTCTTGTTTAGTAACTACTCACTCTTTCTAATGTTATTTCTGACACTTAGGAGATTGAGAAGCAAAAAATCTACATTTCCAAGTCTCTTGCACACATGGTTCATATAGTTTAGTTTAGACAGATACAATTAGGTGATATTTGGAAGAGGGAGTAAAGTGGAGGTCACGGGCCTACCATTTCTGTCAGTTAGAATATTTTTCTCCAACAACATTTGAAGAGATCCTAGTGCTCCATATATGATTTATGAATATTTGGAGGGCTCAGAGCATCCATTTTTTCCAAGTCAACAGTACATAGTCTTCTAATTTATGGTTAAAAAAACTAAAATGACATATTCCTGATCCTATGGTTGCAATGACAGTGCCCTGTAACTATAAAAAGGAAAAAAGCCTCTTCATAAAAAATCCTCTTCATTGGGCAGCTTCTGTGGTATTAGAGCTTGTCCTTCAGGTTTGTTTTTTTTCCCCCTAACAAGTTTGTATGAGTTTCATTCCTGTATTAAATCATTTTCTGCTTAAAATAGTCAGAGTAGTTTCAGTTATCTTCAACTTAACCCTGACTCAAACAGATGGTATATTGAGAAAGAAACACAGTTAACCAAATTAAGCCATTCTATATCATGAAAAAAATCATCCTTCCTGAGCATAATATAGCCTGGAAACAATTATATATTGAAATTACTGATATTTTCATTTAAAAAGGTATTGACTGATTTACTAAGAAACTAAGCATAGTTTATAATTTTCAATAAATTCTTGCTTTTTTTCGTATTGTTTTATAGGCATACCTAGGTAAATAATTTCACCAACAGAACTATTTCATTCCTAATTTGAACCTAGGACAAGGCCATCAGCTTCATTTATTAGACCACACATATAATTTTATTTGAATTTCATATTAGTTTAATAGTCACAGTTGGTAAATTGCCACTTACATGCTTCTTATAAACTATATATTTATCAACAAATTTTGACACCTGAAAAGCAATGATTCATATCCATATGGATGTTTTCATAGTATGGAGCTGAAAAGATGTATGTCATACAGATGATAAAATCTAACAGTTTAGGAGAAAACGTCCTTATCTGTAAACAGAAAGAAAACTTATAATTAGGTTCAGCTAAGATCAAGCATTAAATATTTATGTATTGATTTAATTTTTTTTTGTAATCTCTTAATTCTTTTTTCAATTCAGACTGATATATTTAAAGAGACAGACACAGAAATGCAGTCATGGGTCACATACATTTCAGCTCAAATGTCTCATCAGTCTAGGAGTTAATTAAGTGTGGACACCGTCTAGATCTCCTGCTCCCATTTCTTTCCTTCTCAAGTGTTTCAGATATGTTTGGGAGACAGAATTTTCTATATCAGTTAATTTTAAGTACACATCTATCCTCTTTGAGTCAGGCAAAACACTTGAGAAAGACAAAAGTTTAGATACCTTATTTA